TCTATATAATCACACTCTTTTATAATCACCAATTTTCTTGATACAGACTGTGTGATTATAGAGGAGGAAGACTGTATATATTTTACTAAACTATATGTAACTATACTATTTTCTTGCTGAAATTCAAAATTACAGTAATAAACTAATACATATCTAAAGCTCCATCTCAATAAAACGCCGCCGTTTTATTACTAGTCAATATTTTGTTCCTTGAGTCATGATCTCCCCCAAATGATTTTGAATAGGTTAAGAACCTATCCCATGAGACAATGCAATTTCAAGTTCTGGCTCAAATATTTATTCGACCTATAAATGCAGTTTTTTTTTTGTATTCTTTAAATGTTCTTACATGATTAAAGTTGTTTTTACGAATTGCATTTAAAGAGATTTACTGCAGATTTATTTTTGGGTTAATCGAGCAATTGCTGGTCCATAAACAGGGTCCGCCTTACATGGATATATAACCTAATATAAATAATGTAAAAATTGCATTATAAACTTAAAACTCTTTTTCTCACCCTTACCAACCTCCTGGATTTAATACTCCAAAGATCTCTGATAAAACTTTTCGAAATGTATTTTTTTCATATATATAATTTTATCTTCGAAAAAAGAAATATCAAATTCATTATTGAGAATGGTACATATCACATTCTATAAATTTAATATTATTAATTTCATCACTAGAATCTATATAATAGAATCAACTGAATAAAATTCTGAATTTGGATATTCAGCAGCAACCTTATCGTAATGGGCTATACAGAAACCTTAATATCTTAATGCATACTAACTATATCGTTACTATATAGTAATTACTGTATAGTTACTATTAAATTTAATAGATCATATCATGAAACTATCTGAAAAAATCCAAAACCGTTCTTTGAGTTAAAATAATTTCCGACTTTCAATCAACGGAAATTGAAAAATAATAAATCAATAATCTACTCAATAAATAGGATTTATTACAATTCATTAAATTAGATAATTAGATCGTCATAAGAGACATATCTTCTTTTAAAACTTTATGCATTGGTGTAACTATGTTGTAACCTTTAGTAGCCACAGCAAGAGCCATACCAACAAGATAAACTCTAGGTGGCCCGAAAACAAATGTAAGAAGATTAGGAACTGAAAATATAGGTGCACCAACATCCCCAAAATTCCCTATAAGGTCTGTAATAATCATGTTATCATACCTAACCCCATCTATAAAGGCTACCACATTATTATCTTTTATAAAACCACAAGTAAAACCTGCCCTAAAACCAGATATGCATACTCGAAGTCCAATAAAAACCTGAATCTGATTTATAATACCACCAATTCCTATTTGTGGAAAAAATATATTACCTGTCATTACATATGGGCTAGCTTTGAAGTTTTTAGTATTATTATTTACGATGAACCCCCATTCAGCTCCCTCGTCTATGACCATTGGTCCAATAATATATCCTTCAGGGAGGTCAAAATTAAATTCATTCCATGGTACATAATAAAAATCAACAGGCTCGGTTGTGTTCTTACGTTTTTTTCGACCACAATCACCAGAAGTCACTAAGTAGGTCAAATCTTTTGAACGTACCCAGCAACATGCAGTACAGTAGGTTCGTTCGGTTTCTCCAGTTACTTTGGCATCAGTTAAGCCGATTCCACCTAGGATTTCAGTTTTTATATCACGAGATTCTAAAGTCGATGGATTATGTGGATTAGGTTTATGTGACTTAGGTTCATCATCATATTCTATAATTATTGGTGTTGGATCAAGTTCTTTGGCCTTTTCGATAAATGCTTTATTTAATTTACGAAAATTTTTGTTTAAACTTATAGCTATATTATTCTTTTCACACTCCTTATTTATTGCAATGTTTGTCGCTTTGTACTGTTTTGCTAATTTAGTTAATTCATCAACATTGGAGTCTAATTTCTCTAAAGAATTCTTAACTTGTTTAAATGATAAAAATTTTAGGTACGGTTTCATCTCCTTATTATCCGTTATGATTTGCTTCTTAGATGTGTCTACTACATAGACAATTATTTGAATGCCATTAAGATCTAAATAAGATCCACAAAAGCTTGACTTATCTAGTAATGGAATTAAGCGATTATACCCCTCCGTTAAAGGTTTTTCATTATCAGCTATCTTTTGAAATTTACTTTCTGGTATTTCAAAGAGTTGCGCTACTTCTGAGTAAATGGGTGATTTGGCATATACGATCAAATTATTTTGCAATAGTAATGAAAATAGCAATAAATTTAATGCTATATAAGTGTATTTCATTATTCTATCATTGTCAGAGCTAAAGCTAAAAATCGGGGATTTAAATAATGAATTCTCTTGAACCGTTTAGAATGTATCTGTTTAATATCCGTGCTGGATGTGTAAAAAATAAATACCTAAAAAAGCATCATTCTGTCTAATTTTTATTTTATTTTAAATAAGACAAAAACTAAACAGATTAATGCTTTTCGGTTATTTATTTTACCGCCAGTGGCGATACCACACCATTTATTTCTTTTATCAAAAGCTAGGTGCAATTTTAGATCAAGGTTAGTATTAGATATAAAGGTCCAAATTTAGTTATGATTTGGGGCTCCTGAATATTTTTACTTAGTAATTCTGACGTGTTTAGGTTTTTGAGTTACAATACCTTCGATGATATCGCCACTGGCGGTAAATTGCAATATTTTATTTTATTTATACATCTACCTAGGGATGAAAAAAAACTCATTTTTTTCACCATTTTAATATACCATATATCTCTGAATATTAATAACCCAGATTTTGGAGTAGAAAATCGTGGTTTTGTCGATCACTGTGATTGGCAAATTCCAAAACAACCGTTCGTTTTGCTTATTTCTCAAAAATCGGCATAAAAAACCACCTTTAATGCTCTAACAAAAAGTTTTCCTTGAACAATTTTACAAAATAATTACCTAATCTCTAACTTTAGTCTAAACGCTAACCCTAATTACATTGAACTTTAAAATTTTTTAATTGCAAAACTGCACCACAAACCTGGCACAGGATTCATACGTGCAGAATCGCAAAGTTGATTGGATTATACGTTTGTACATAGGTTTTTCTTGGTTATGATCGCATATAATTGTAAGTGACGAAATGATATGTTAGTTAATTGGTAATAGTGAGGGGGTGTTATCATATCAGTTCAACATTAAATCAGTAGGCGAAAGGGAAAGGACATATATGTAAATGCATGTATTAAAAGGTGTAGAGGGAGGTCATCTTTCTCTTTGCTATCGTTCGCCTCGCAGGAAGGTCCCTTCAACCCCGCTCATTTTGCAGTGACCCAGCAATAAGCTTAATGCTTGGCGGCTGGTTTGTTATGTGAAGTATATTAATATGTAAAGTCAGATTTTATGACTGCATAGACTTTGTTTTTGTAGCAGTTAGTTCCGAGGCTGTAGTGCAAAGGCCTTACCAGTTAAGCTCTGCAGATGCAGTAGGAGTGCAAGGACCTTGACTTTGTGCAAAAACTTAGTTAAAATGAGTTGCAAGTTCTGCGGCTAAAACATAGTGCAAAGACCGCCTTTGTTTAAATAAGCAGCATTCACGTCATATCATGAAACCGATTCTCTTTACAGCCACATGGAAATCTCCATGGCGACTTCTCTATGTACTTAAATTTATAGGGAAATTGAGTTGCGTTATGAGGTTGATTCCACTAGCATTGTTTTAGGGAAATAATATAGTTGTCAAAGATAGAGCTTGTAACGACAGTGAACAATTCCCATTTATTTTTCAATTGTTTTCAATAAATTTATCTGATTGTGCAATAATAATATATTAAAGCATTGCGCTATTAACTGATCTTCACACTTTTGCCTGATCACTAGTTTTAGCAGGTCCAATAGTGATAGCAGCATCGATTGTATTACGCTAATTATTATTTTTTTTAATGTATATAGGGTTATTCACCTATCATTAACTTCTTTTATCACGGTTGATTTAGTTGGCGAATAAACGATCATTTATTTAATCGAAGTCACTAAAATAAACTATTTAATTTTTCTCATTCTCGTAAATTTAATATATAAAATCCATTTTTGATTGTAATATTATGATGGCTATTTATTTCTCATTCATTATCTTATTTGTGTTTATTTTGTCTGTAGGTATAATGATAAACGCATTTAAGCCAAATGTCTTTACCTAATATATTCTATTTAATTATCACACTACTATTTCACTAATCTATATCATAACGTAAGTAAAAGCTTATTTAATTTTTTGCACAATACTACGGTTTGAACATAATAAGCTGGATAAATTAATTGAAATGATTCCAATAAGTAGGTGGATATATATTAGTTGGTGAGTCTATAGATGCACAGTGGAAAGGTTCATGATTTTAACAATGAATGGATCCGTGATCTTTGTAATGGTCTCAATTAGTGTTCGGACCCGGGTGGTTAACCTGCTGGTCACCCGTTTAGATCAATCCAAATGAGTTTTTACTTTTTTTTTACAATTAATTTTTATTACAAGTGCTAAACATCATATGTAATTATTTAAAGCAAATCTAGCAAAAAATATTAATCGTCGTCACTAAATATTGTCTTTAATTTAAGATGACAGATATGATTTGATGCAATTAATACAATCGACTTCTGATATAAGGAACTTTTATTATAAAATTTTTAATTAAGACCTACAAAATCTTTCTTGTACCAAGAGTTTTCTTACATCGAGAGTTGCTTGTATAATCCAGTCGAAAAAATCCGAAACGCTTATTTTTTTTTTTATTAAAAATCGTCTTTCAAACTCTAAAAAAAAATCTCGTTATATCGATATAAAGCCACACAAAGTTGATTTTTTCATTTCCATTACATGGCATTCGAAATTTCGGTCGACGGTTAATTTTTTTTTTGTTGTTAAAGTAAATTAATAGAATAAATTTTTATGTAATCTCTTAACTTTTAAAGCTTTCTTTCAAAAGCATTTATTTGTTCAAGTACTATAGCCATGATTTCGGGTTTTTTAATTAACTTTCGAGTCATTAAAATAATAAGGCAATATAAAACTATCTTGAGTTTAAACCTATCGGTAACTTACCAGATATAAGAATAATCTGATCCATTATCCATTTAAAATCTGAAAATTATAGTAATATCTTAGTGATAGATTTACAAAATCAGCATTCCTTCCTGTGGCAATACAAAATTTCGATTTATCAAAAATCGGCCAAGAATGGGGATACTAGTAGAATGGTTTATGTCTAGAATTGTTATCAATATGAAATTGGAAAAGATACTCTTAGAATAAACCCGGGTTTACATATTTATCGTAGACTTAATTGCTTATAACTTTAAAAAATTATTTTGTATTGGATCCAACTGATTTGTAAACCTCAGGTCTAATGCTAATCCTAAAATTGTTAATTAAAAAGAAATGGTCATATGTAGCTCATTTTTGTTAATCAAACAATCGCAATGGTCGCAAAAAGAAATCACTTGACTGAAATTAGTTATCTTGCATTAGTTAGCAATTTTAGGCAAGTGTAACTTCAGCTGCCTAAAGTTGCAACATTAATTGGCAATATAATTTCGTGATACCCTTATTATAATCGAAAGGTAAACAAATACATAGAAAAACGTTCTTTAGTGAGTACAGGAATCAAAGATCCGGAAATAATTGATCACACATGCCATAACTAAAGATGCTGATGATTCTGTGTTTAAACGAATCCTACAGACTGTTTGATTTGTCTAAGATTTTCTTTAAGATGGTAAGAAAGGGATTGGCCGTTCTCGAAATATAGACATTAAACGGTGCCATATAGACCATGTAAAACACTTCCAATTTTAAAACTGTTAACAATCTGAAAGCGTTATTAAATATCGTCTTTATATGTATCTATCTATTCTCTATCATGGGTAACTGTATGATCCGCAAATCACCCGGGTGGCCCACCCACGGATGACCTGTTCGTAAAATTTCTTGTACTTGGGTGACCTGGGTCGAGATTTTTGAGACAGGTCGGAACACTAGTTGTACAGTGCGTACAGCGTATAGTGCATATCCTGTGATTTGATTGGCCTACTAGTGAAATTAGTGTTGAATAGGTTTTGGAATAATACTGAGAAAACAGAAGTCCAAGAGCGATTCAACGACTAGACAGGCATGTTGGATAAAAGTAACAAGTTGGACCTAATGGTTATATCTAGGGATGGGTTCGGTCGGCTCGCAGTCGGCTAGCCGACCGACTATAGCCTTAGTCGATAATAGTCGACTATAGCGGCTTAACCGACCGGCTAGCCGACACGTGATATCGGGCCAATTAAAATATCATGTTTACGGGATCTTCCGTATTTTCGGGCTGACTGTGTCGATCTGTTTATGTTTAAATGCTGTATACATTGATCGACTATAACCGACTATTAGTCGATAGTCGATAATAGCAGCATATACTAAGTGAAAAGTAACTACAATGCGCAATACTTAAAGACTATAGTGTTTTATTTTCAGATCATTAATAGTTGCTACATAGTAAAGTCAAATTTTATTATGCAAATTACTACTTATGCATTAAGTAAAGTTGTTAGGCTGATCAAAATACGCATATATGTAAGTTTTACTTAACAGTTAAATCGGATAATTTTTTTTTAATGCATATTTGCGTATCACGATCAGGAGACACAATCGTAATATGCACAAATATATTAATAAAAGGTATTCAATTTATATAAATCTTTTAAAATATAGGATTATACTAAGGAAAAAGGTCGGGTACGAAAGAATCTACTCTTTCAGTGCCTTCAGTCCTTTTATTTCAATGCGTATGTCCTAGTGAAATGATTGTATTAGTGTAACTCATACTAACCTAAACCAGTAATTAATTAAATTAGTTCACTTATCTGTCTTTGCGCCAATTTCATCCACGAGTTACATATATCACTGCTTTGACTGCCTTTTGATCTGTATTCAACTCGAATGATTTTGGGCTAGTGATACGGGTCGACTAGAGGTGGGAAAAATGCGCATTAATGCGCATTAATGCGCATGATATATAAAATGCGCATGATACCCGCATGATAAAAATTTTTCATAATTTGTATTTTTATTAATTGTAACATATTTAAATAAAGATAATACATATAAATTCTTAATCAGATTTTGTCTACATATATAAATTTTTACTAATTTGCCAATTATAAATTTTATCGTTACTTATCATATATAGTTAAATTATAATAAATAAGAATGTAGATAAACTTACTATTTAATATATAGTCTTAATAAATATAAATCTTATAACT